AGGACAGAGACGTGCCGAGGACAGAGACGTGCCGAGGACAGAGACGTCCAGAGGACCTGACTTAATCGTGAAAAATGCCGACATTATCAGATCCTAACTAATCAACATTTATAACGATTCTTACCTTTGAGGTTTTCCTGCAACGGGGGCACGGGACAACCCGATGAGGGCGTGACTGCGGGGTCCACGCAGCACGAGGCACTGAGGTTTTTGATGATCTTTGGGTTGGGGCACGGCGAGCGGCCGGCACACTGCTGCAGCAGCTTGGAGATGAACGAAGCGGCGTAGCTCTGGATCAGAGCGTTCTCCTCCCGTTTGACGGCCTCCATCAGGGGCCGGACCACGGGGTTGAGTTTGTCTGGAAGCATCTGCAGGTTGATGACGGCACACGCTGCGAACAGGTGGACGCGCTGATGCAGCTGCTGCCACTCCGTGTTCGTCTCCGTCACCGTAGCCTGAGCCTGCTGCCGTTTACTCTCCAAAGCTAGCCACCGTTTGGACGTGACGTTCAGACCAGACGTCGTCTCTGTAAACACGGTGGTTACCTAGGCAACAGGAGAAATGTTGGAGTTAGGCTTGTGAATGGGACAAATCATTACTAAAGCTGTCTGTTCAGGAAACAACTCACGTTATCAATAATGAGAATTTACAGACCATAAACCAAACACATCGGAAAGTTCAGTTTATTCATTACGAACAAGAAACCAAAGCTAAAGTTTCATAGATGGATAATTGTTACAGTTAAATAGATAATAAATAGTTAAATAAATAGATAATAGATATTGTTATTATAGATATTACTCCATCAGCATAGATGATAGAAAATACAAGTTCAAGTTTTTTAATTGTCATTTCCATCACGTGTGGTACATGAGGTGGAACAAAACACAGGGTCTCAGTTACACTCAACAATAGCAAAAATATAAAGTATAAAAAGAAACTGTAAATAAGGATCTAAGATATAAACTAAGATATACGCTAAACATTAACAATAAAACAATACGACGCAACAACAGCAGCATGAGCATGAGTCTGTGGTGAGCACGTGTGTGTGAATGGATAACAGATAACAGTCAGAATTCATTTCTCCAAACTGAGGCTGTTCAAAGACCCATGCAGAACAGGTAAGATATTGACTTGTCACTTGCACGACCACGTGAAACTAGTGGTTTAAGTGGGTCGTCTGTGGGTAAAGGTAATGCGTTCATCACGTTACCAGTTCGTTGGCTTGGTCGATGGTGAAGACGCTACAGTTGAGGCGGTCCTGCAGCTCCACGTGTGCATCAGCCAGTAACGCCATGAGCTGCTTGCACTCGTTCTGCATGCGCGTGAAGGGGATGGCGATCTCATCGTAGTACAGCTGCTCTGTCAGGATGGCCAGGAGCCGAGGCTGCACCGTGGACGACACCATCTGGCAATCCTAAAAGGAATTGGACGACGTTAAGGCCGACTCCGTTTCTCTCGTTTTGCTCGTCTGTCCGTCTGAGCTTCACCTTCTGCAGCGCGGCCCACTCACAAAGCACCAGCGCCACCGCTATCCGCTGCAGGGCGGACTTGGAGTTGAGGTGGAAGAGCAGCAGCTGACCTAAAGACTCGGCCGGTCTGATCTCCTGAGACGCAGCGTTGAGCTGAGGGTCACAGATGCACCTGCACAGAGCCCCCAGCAGCCTGGACCACAGACAAAGATCTTAACGTCGTACATCAAAACAGTTTTCATTTCAGGTGACGTCGACAACTGGAACGTACTTTGCAGCCATGAGTCGAGCACGAACCACCACGTAGTCCCTCGTCACAGGATCTTCTGTCACCGTCTCAGCACCGGCTATGTACTCCTGAACCGTCTCCTTCACCTGATTGGTCCCCTGACGCGCCTTCGTCCCGCCCTTATCCTGTTTAATCAAATTCCTTCATGACTCCACAAACAACAAGACGAAGTGAAGGAGCGGCAACTTGAACATCGCTCACGGTCAAAAGAAGAGATGAAGGCAGACGATACAGTTTTCTCTATGTCCGTGTGTTTGTGTTAGCAAAATATACGAGACAAATGTTTTAACCAAACTTAAGGAGTCAACCCAAAGCCAAACACTAGCAAAGACACCACTGGCTTTGAGTCTGGTCATTTCACAGATCCTGAAGTTTCATGTGGTAGTAGCGGAGTTGCTCATCTCACATGCTCTAAACTCGACACGAGACTGAAAACGACAACAGGCATGAGGTGTGACCAGGACAGCTCAGATTTCTCAACATGATCTTAGTCTAAAGCTCCATCATGGAAGGGAACATGTCAAGACACGCAGCACAAGACAAAGAATGAAGCTGCAGAACCTTGGAGTTGCAGCGGGCCTTGACCTCCAGCAGCATTTTCAGGTCTATAGGAATGTGTGAGGCCTGCATCATGAGGCAGAGCCAGGCCGCCACCCACGGGCAGCTGGCGGCCACCACGAACTGCTGGGGGGCCTGAGACAGCAGCTCCATCCACACCTGCACACAGAACACCGTTCAGACGACACTTCACCGCCTCCCCAGAGGGTCAGTAACGAGACGTGTCCAACCAACCTTTTGAATCAGTTCCAGGATTTCCTCGTTGCTTTCCAGAATGCAGGACTGGAAAATGTGTCGCAGCATGTCTTGTAATATGGGGTTGATCCAAACCGCACAACTCTGAAGAAAATACAAACACAACTGACTGATGCTCTAAACGTTAAAGGTAATACGAGCGTAATGTAACCTTTATTTCTACAGGTTGGTCTCACTGAGCCTCGAGGACACTTTTACAAGAGAGACCTGGTTTTAACAAAGAATCATGACAACAGTGGACGATCTTTAAAAAACCCCAGCTACATTATAAAGCGATGTAAATGATCAAAAACAGGAACATGTCTGTGTTGGTTATTGCAGGAACTTATCAGATGTTTGAAGCCACTTGGAGGTCAAGGTTGAGAGCTTCAGGTCTTTTTTTTACAAAATATTACAGGAAACCGGAGCGGAGCAGGAAAATATGGAGCGCCCTTAGAAGAAGCCACGCACTAAATAAAACGACAACTATCAGCCGCAGGTGTTCACGTTGTAACGTGAGAAGCAGCAGTGACAGATGTGCAGCTTGTTGGAGATCAGTCCTCAAATAGTGGGGCGCGCCCCCCTGGGGGGTCGAGACAATGCCAGGGGGGCGCATGTGACCCTAGAAAACAAGCTTTTTTTGCTGCAGGGAGTAGTTTTAGGTTTTTTTCCACCATCCTCATTTTGTCGCGTGCGTTCCTATTAATAAAGTTATGAACAAATATGGCCGCCTTGTGGTTTTGGAGCCGTGCACGAGCCGTGTCTCTCCTTTGCTGCCGACACGATGAAGAAACTCCGACCGTCACCTCCTCCGCCCTCCGCTGCTGCTTTTATGTCCACGTGACGTCCCTCACAGCGCACGTGCAACAAAGAGTAAACTGAAGCGAGAGCGACACCTGCTCCTTTTTCCTGTTGACAATTTTTTTTGTTTAATCGATGAATGTGCTCATTGATCCCGACTTCCTCATTTTGATTAAAATTTTTTTATTTTTTTAAATCAACATAAAAATTGTTTTATTCATTTTTGTTTTGTAGGTCAAAGTGTTTTATAAAACACTCCTGAGTTAAAATGTTGCTGATCTATTTGAATTATTATTTATTGATTTTATTTTTCAGTATCAAATGGTCCAAAATGTTTAGTTGAAAATTTTTTTTTTTTTTTTCAGGCAAACTGATGAACTTTAAGTTGTTTCTGTTACAAGGAAGATTAACTTTATTAACATTGTTTTTTAGTTTGTAAGTTGATCTGTATTTTTTCTTTTCTTTAATGTTAATAAGGACGTTTCCTACAGTCGCAGTGGAGAGTTGGGGGTGAAATATTTAATTCTTTCTGGGGGGGCATATAACAGAAAATAATTGAGATCACTGGTGTAGATCATGAATCAACCACCAGATGGAGTTTTATAGATTTGATCTTCCTGTTCAACACAGAGAGTGAACCCCACCGGTCGTCATGACAACCGCCTCCCTCCCTCATGTTACTGTACTGAACGGCCCAACACAAACTAACACAATGACACAATGTGTTTGTTTGTCCTGAACACCTGTGGGGTCCTCTCCGTCTGTGTGAGTCACAAGGACCCCCCCTCAAGCGAGGTGAATGGGGCAGCTACGTGAGCGCCCAGATGTGACGAAGCTAAATCATCATGGCGGCAGGAAGCTCGTTAGCCCGTAAAGAAAAACACACTCCAAATTAGCCGCAGCATTGTACAAGCCGCAGGTTGAAAGTCTGTGAAACCGACTTAGAGCAGAAAACACGGTGGATTAATTCTGGAAAACACAGTTTGCAGATATTTGTGTGAATCCACAGTTTCTCTTTCTTCACTACGTCTTTTTGTTTTAAATCTAATTCATCACATTTTCAGCTATTTTGGCCAGTGAGCTCACAAAACATTCAACTTGTTCATTACAGCTATAACTTCTACTTTTTGTAACTTATATACCCGTCTGTCTAATTACCTGTCTAAATAAAGGTTGATTGACATACACAATATTTTGTTAGTCACATTTTTCCTCATTGAAATAAAGGAAGAACTTCTTAAATCACTGAAAAACTTATTTTTTAAATTAATTTATCATACCAACTTTTTTGTTTTCAGTGTTTAGAAGGTCCCAACAGTTAAATGCAGACCAATTAAAGCTTTTCTGTTTTTTAAACTAAATTTAATTTGTTCCGATTGGTCGACCTCTGACGACTCTTCAGTTTCCATGAGTCGCACTGATTTGTCAAACATCCCCAGTGATTTTAATCATGTTAGGTCGACGTTACCTGGTCGGCCTTGGACAGCAGAGTGTGCAACGTTTCCAGCGCTGCCTTTCTAACCGATGAGATGGTGTGTCTTAAGAACGGCCAAACGCGAGGAACCAGGACTGTGAGCGACTGCTGCAAACTAGAACGAGAAACGCGTGTCAAAGTAACTTCACGCACAAGTGTGAGCGCTACACGATCTCCCAGAGACTCACCTGCACTGTCGGACCTGTGGGTAGGTCAGCAGCAGGGACAGCAGAGTCATTATGCTGTTGGTGGAGGCCGTGAGGTCGTCCAGGTCCAGAAGAGCATCCCATAATGTGTTGACGATGAAGGGCACCTGGAGGACAGCAGAAGCTCAACTTTTCCACTACGTGGTGGAACGTTCTGGTGCTGTACCACGAAATGAAAACACGAGGACAAATCCGGTCTCTGACCTCCTGCGGTAAAAGCTGCACCAAACCGTCCACCACTGGGATGAGTGCTGCAGCCGCCACGGCCCTGACGTCATCGTCCAGGTCCTGCAGGCCGTCCGTGATGGCAGGCAGAACCCGGGGCAGCAACAAACAAATCAGGTCCTGAACACACAATCGCCTAAATTAAAGCAAAACCTGGAAATAAGCAGCACATAAATCACCTTCAACTACCACTACGAACCAGTACGAACCACTACGAACCAGTACGAACCACTACGAACCAGTACGAACAGGATTAGTGCTTATGGAGGAAACTTTTTATTCATTCCATTTAAGAATAAATGGATATTATAACTGTCAACACTTTTTAATGCTCTACAGAAACCCTGTAAACACACACGTGCACACATTTGTGTTAATGTTAGTAATATTTTTATCTGACTCTTTCCTGCAGGGTTCCTCAGGGCTCGATTCTTGGACACCTTGTTTTCACTGCATCTACTCCCTTTGGGTCCATCCTGAGGAAACGTCTTTCGTTTCATTGCTGATGGTTGTCAAATTCATCTGCCCATAAAACCAAATAGTTCTTGTTCTACTCACCCTCTGTTAAAATGTCTTTATGACATCGAGGCATGGACGCTTCAAATTTAAGTTTCAACAATCAGAAAACTGAAGTTGTGTTTAGCCCCAACTCTGCTTCCGTCTCTGTTCCTGTAAACCGGGTCTCTCCATCAGTCTGTTACAAACCTCAGGATGGTTTTAGACTCTGACCTTAAGTTTAATAAACTGATTAACTCCGTTCTGCAGAAAACCTTCTTCCACTTAAAGCAAATGGCTAAGATGAAGTCAGTTGTGACTAAATCTGACCTTGAATAAAAAAAAAAAAACAGTCCATGCATTCATTACAACCCGACTATAGACTACAGTAACACTTTATGTTGGGGTCAACCAGGTGTCCCCGTCAAGTCTCCAGCTCAAACAAAACGCTGCAGCTCTGCTCTGAACAGGAACTCGTAGGTTTGATCACATCTCACCAGTTCTGTCCTCCCTTCACTGGCTCCCTGTATGGATCAGGACTGATTTTAAAATTCTGTTGACCTTTAAGTGCCTAAATGACCTTGCACCCTCTGACCTACTTCAACCAGATGTTCCTCCTTGGGGTTGAGATCATCTGATCAGCTGCTTCTGGTTGAACCTCAAGAGGAGATCGGGCTTTTTCAGTCGTGGGCCCTAAACTCTGGAACCCCCTTCATAAAGATCGTTGACTTGGCATGTAACAAACCTGACGGACGGCCAAGGCATACTTGATCCCCAGCAGGCCTCCATGCCGGACCTCCCACTGGTCCTCTTTCAGCAGCTTCAGCAGGACGTCCACCGTCATCGAGACACCGTTTTCATTCATGTGACGAAGGGCCACGCCGAGAGCCTGAGCACACGTCTCCCTGACGGGCGCCACCACCTGCCCAACACACAAACACAAGTCAACACAAACCACACAGGAAGGACATGCATGTACAAGATCATCTGTAATAAATGATGTTCATCAACCCTGTTCAGGTGTAAAGCAATAAAACAAAAGACCTCATCGGATACAAAGTCTCCAAAACGATCCAAGGCAAACACACAGAGGAGACGGATGACCAGATCCTCGATCCAGCCCTGATGCTGTCGCAGCATCTAAACAGAACCAGACACCGTGAAACCCTGGATACAATATAGAAACACTGTAAAAACATAAAGTATATGGTTAGGTATACCTGCTCTGCAGTACTTCCAACCACTTTCCCACCTGCCGCACCTTGAGACTTGAGAATCTCTCTAAGACCTGTGCCCGCACCGTGACGAATCTGTCAGCACCACACAAACCTTTTCACTTTAAAAGACTCGTTCATGCTCATTTCTCAAGACACTTCTGGTTTTCAAGGGTTTTAATTCCTGCCGATCAGTTCAAACTAATGTGGTTTTTACCTCCCATGAAGGGTTGAAGAGATCGTTGCAAAGCTCTTCACAGAAGCTCTCCAGAGGCCACTCGTGGGTCTAGAAATCAAAGCGATCAATCTCAAACTAAAAACCAGAGGCGATGAAGCCATTTGTTATTTTTACCTCCTCCAGAAGACTGGAGTTATCTGGAACAGTGTCGATCAAGACTTTATGTTCGGTGGCTGGCTGGTCGATGACGACGGTCGTTTTTCTTCGTTTCTCCTCAGGCTCGCCTTCAAAACTGTCGTTGCTGAAATGGTGAGAAAATTTTAATCTTTAAATCAGAACTACTGCAGTCAAATTAAAATGTGGATAAAAAAAGAGAAACGTTCACTGTTCATGTGGATCCAAACGAAGAACGCAGAAGATTTTACCTCTTTTCGTTAGGATCCACGTCTCTGGACTTCTGCTTGGCCACGAGTTTAGCCATCCTCTTGGCCTTGTTCTTCTGGCGGCTGCTCATGCCCGACCGAAACTCGGAGTCGATCAGCTCGGCAGCTTGGATCGTCTAAAACCAACATCAGGGTTATGACGGTTTGAAACAAACATCTGTTCACTACAACGTCCAACAGAAGGCAGAGTGGAGGGCGCTCATCTCTCCGGTGATTTTTGAGCGCCACTAGCTTTGCGCTACATCAGCGCCGGCGGGGGTGGGGTGGGTTCAGTAAGCAGGTTGCTCAGTTCTGTCGACTGTTTAAACAAGTTTTGGAACACACTTCATAACTTTATGGTGAATAATGGAGGACGCATTATGGGCCATTTATCACCAATATGTCCCCAAATGCCAATATTGGCCCGAAACATCGGCCCTACCAGTACATCTCTCTTTCATTCGTTCATTCAACCTTTATTTATACAAGCGAGTCCCATTGAGCCTCGGGGACTCAGTTACAAGAGAGACCTGAATATTGAGGTCAGGCTCTACTAAAAACCCCACATTAAAAACTGGGCTTGTTTAAGAGTGATGTGATACAAACTGAGGAGACAAATCTCAAAATCTTGAGAAAAGCTGCTAAACAGAGCATCACTAGGAAATGGTTCATGTCTCCACCAAGTCTGGCAGAGTGGACAGTAGAAGAAATCTTTTCTTTGGAGAGAATGACGCACCGTCTCAGGACCGAGGCTCGGTACTTTGAGCATCGTTGGAGAAAAGGGCTTGATTGCACAACAAGGAACCAACTCCAGCTGGACTGAAATAAGGAAGAGAGGAATCTCACCACATGGTTTCTGGAGCTGCAGCCAGCTGTAGGTCTAATCTCCTGAGCTCGAAGCCCGCTCGGTTGACAGGAATAATCCAAGTCTTCGTCGTTGAACAGCTCCTCTGTGTCCATCCCAATGGCAGCACCCATGTCCAGGCCCAGCTTCTTCTGGAGGAGCTTCCTCTGACGGGCCAGACGTTCCTTTGGGTCCGTCTCACCTGCAAACAGAAGGAAACTCTCAAACGTGTTCAGGACATTCAGGAACACAAAGTTCTGGGAGGATGAAGATGTGCGAGAACAACAGAGACGAGAAGACAACGTGCTGAAATCAAATGTCTCCTTAAACATGCTGAACAGGAAATGACATCAGAGGACAAGAAAGCAACGACTCGTTTAACAAATCTATAATCAGACAACAAAAAGACGAGAACGAGCATCTTTTCTTCAAAGTCCATTTGGATTCACCGCACAGTGTTTTCATGGTCAGCATGTCGAGACGAGGAACAGTGTGAAGAGCAAGAACGTTCAAACGAAGCACGCACCGGTTTGATCATCCTGCAGCTCGAACTCGGCTCCAGCAGATCCGAGCAGCGACGCGCCGTGTTTAAGCAGGCGGGAGACGTCGAAGTGGTAAAAACTCAACCGGTCACAAGACGAGTCCTCCGGAGACGAACCTGCACCAGATTCTACGACAAACAGAGCCCGACGTTACTTTAAGCGCTTGGGGTTCGTGCCTTTAATCTAAAACAAAAGATTCTTCTGAGCAGAACATCCACAAATACATCGCACGTCCCAAACAGAAGAAATGATGAAACCTGTTCAACGTCTCAAAATGTTCAGATTTTGTCGTTTTGACGTGAAAACACTCGTGACTCAGTTTGTACTTTTATCTGTAATTTCTCTTCCGTCCTCAGACGTGAGCAGAGAGACGAGTCGCATCAAGTCTGGCTGACACAACCACAGCCTGTGATGGAGCACAGAGCTCCATCTGGGGCGCCCGGGGGAGCAGATGGTGGGGGTTACAGGCCTTGCTCAAGGGCCCAGAGTCAGGCAACATTTTGATGATGTTGTCGGTCCGGGGAGTTGAACCAGCGATCTTCTGATCACAGGTCCACCTTCTCTAACCTCTGTGCCATCACTCCTTACTTGTACCTTTATCTGCACGCTGATGTAAAATTATTGGCAGTTTTTACCTCCACTTGAATCTAGAGTTTACTAGTTTTACAAACGGCTGCCACCCTGAGCCCGGGTCTGTTCAGAGACTCGTTTCTTTCCACCGTCGCCAACGCGCTGCTCAGGATGGGTGCACGTGACGACGTGGATTCAACACAACCTGCTGACGTCCTTACAAAGACGACTTGGAACGTGAATGTTTTGGTGCAGTGCACGATCAAACAAACCGTTTTATTTTTAGTAAGCACGGTGGGAAACGGTTTGAAAACCCCAACACGATCCAATACTTTACAATACTAATACAATACTAATACAATTAATACAAATGCTAATACAATGCTAATACAATGCTAATACAATGCTAATACAATGCTAATACAATGCTAATACAATGCTAATACAATACTTTATTTTCAACACACACCGATTCAAACCGGGAAAATACTTAAATTAAACCCAGCACAAATTGAATAAATTATTATTATTATTATTATTATTAACACCCTGTGCAACCCAACAGACTGCGCAGAAACCCTGAACGTTGGTTTCCGTGCACAAATTCAAGGAGCTCCAAAGTCTCGCCTAGAATACACAAAACGTCTGTAGCAACAACTTTTAAGTAAGCACGTTTAAAAATATATAACATATAATGCTATTAATTTAACTTTATGGACAAGAGAGAAACTGACGATGGAAAGTTCGACCGGCTCATGACGTGTTACAGGAAAACTGCAGGGTTCCCAACATTTCATTTACTCAAAGTAAATCCTGAATTTACAGGATTGTTTTAAACGAAACACTCAGAACTTAAAGGTGGCGAGCAAAGTTTACTGTGGCAACAAACTCCCTTCTGCTTTTAGCTTTTGAAAAAATCAACAGTTCCATTCAGAGACGCAGTCGTTTACTGTAGCTTACGATACGTGCATACGGCAATAATTCCTAATAATTATAATAATTGTATAACATCTGAAAATAAAAGCCACAGCCAATCAGTAAGGATGCAGAGACTATGTAGACTGTAGAAGCAGAAGATGGACTCAGTCATAGCAGCATTAATACATGTGCACGTCATTCCCTGATTTCCAGAGTTGCTGGGAACACTGGACTCAAACTTGTTTATGAGTAATGAAGAAATGAAAAGTTGTTCCTGTCGTTGTGACATCTGGATGAGTTTTCCTTCTTAACATTTGCTGAACAACCAACGAGACGCTGCTGTGACTCGACCTGCAGGCTGTTTCAGGTCACAACAAGCTGAACTTCAGTAAAACACCACGCGACAGCATCTTTTAACTCCAGAGTAAGACATGACGCACAATAAATTACCTCAGCGCTGGAAGCAGCTGAACGCACTCAGCCCACAACAGATCCATTATGATGCATTAATTCATTTTCACAAGTTTAATTTAACCATCAAGTCTGGATTTTTACCGTCTTTAGGCCTTGGAGACGGGTTCCACTTGGGAATATTCTTCACGATGGCCTCCACAGCTTGGCCCGCTGCGATCCGAGTGTCCCAGCTGGGACTCCTCAGGTAGGTCAAGACCTGGTATTAAAAGGATTTCTGTTAAAAACAGCCGAGGGACTAACAGAACAGCCAGTCTGGACTAATATTTACTGGACTGTTAAGCATTAAGAAGGATTTTTAACAGTGTTAGAACAAGACTGGGTCAGTCAGAAATTAACATTCCACACACATTGAAATAAAAGTTAAAGGGATAGTTCAGACAGTTTGACATGGGGTTCTGGGGCAAGACTGACGAGCTAACGGCGAGTGCAACTGCAGCTAAGATCAAAATTCATTACTGCAGTCTGCAGACAACTTTAATCATTGAAACGTTGGAAAGATCTCGCCTACATGCCCAAAGGCACACCAGAAGTGCAGCACCGAGCCCCTCCATGCGCTGCAGATCGCTACAGAATTCTGTGGAAATAGTCGTGCATCGAGGAACTGACAGAAACTTTAAAGGAAATTAAACAATAAAAACATGAGCTGCTACGAAATTTAGAAAAACGGAGTAGTCTTAAGGAGGAAGCAATCCACTTTGGCTGTATTCAAATTAGCGGTTAGCTTGTTATTCCTGAACAGTGAATGGCTCCAAACTGACGCCAAAGAGGGTGAAGACTGTTCATACCTTCTTCACAGGACCCCACCATAAAACGACTGAAACATCCCTTTAAACACTTAACCCACACCTTTGACAGGAGGGTGTTGAGTTCATGTGGGTGAAGTTTGACCACTTCTCCGAGCTGCTGGGCCGCTGCCTTCCGGGTCACCGGCGTCGTCCCCGTGTCCAGCAGGATAAACAGACGATCGAGTCTGGAAACAGGTGAAGCAGATGAGTGAGAAAACTGAAACGCAGACGAGATCGGTTCTGACGTTCACCTGTGCCAAGTTATCTTTTAGAACCATTTTTATGTTTCTGCATGAAAGTAAAGCGTAAGGTACAAATGCTGTCAAAGACCCGAGACAGAGCGCACGCCACACCCCTTTTAACGGTGTCCATCAGCTCCTGTGCACGTACAATGCACGTCCACGGCCGCGTGGCCCTCCAGATCTCTGGGTCCTGCAGAGTGTCTCCTCCTGAAGTTACAACTAAAACCCACAAGACAGCTCACCTGTGAGACAGGTGTCCTCAGAACAGTCCAACAGGTGTGGGACAGTGTCCCCGAGGACAGACGAGAGCGTTAATGTTTTTAAATTAAACTCGAGGTTCACCTGTTCTAGTCCAACGCTTTCTTGGGTTAAATAATAATTTAAATTGTATTTGCTTTTTAAACCAGTGTTTAATTCTTAGCTTCTTTAGTTATTTTACAAGTGAACTGTGTTGGTGGCTTTAGTAGTGAATAAAAAGGCGCTTTATTCTTTAAATAAAGTTGACTTGATGGAGTTCCTGCAGAATAAAAATGTTAGTCTTGATCTTAGACGTGAGTTTTAATTAACCAGGTCATCCAGAACCAATAAAACCACGTGGACTCAAATAAACACAGACAGAAAGAGACAAAAACAAAACGTTAAACCGCTCCTGTTCGTTTAGACCGTTTTATGATCGAGGCCGGGCTGAAAATAACCGAGTTTAATTTAGTTCTGAACATTATCACAGCTCATTTTAATTCTATAACTTTAATTTACCTGGTTGTTTAGCTAACCTCGCTTTCCTGAGCTGCAGCCAAACTACGAAGTTCTCTCTTTGATTTCGATCTGTTTATTTAAAAGTCAGACTGCGTCGGTTAGCAGCTTCTTTCTTTGTAGGGTTAAAGAGCTTAGGTCGGCCATCACCACGCTATTCTCAGCTAAAACAACGTTAGCATGTTAGCACGCAGCTAAAGCTCCGTCGACATTTAGCTCACCTCGAAACAGCCATGACTTGTTGCTTCCTGAGCGTCCACGTCCCGCAGTCAACAGTCAGAAATCCGATGTATTTATTCCCACATGTGTCGTGCTTCGCCGAGGAGGTGAGGTCGTTAGCCAGTTAGCAGGCAGCGCTGGCTAGCTGCGGCCCAGCCGGGCAGAGCGCCGTCCGACCGGCCCGCTCCGTCTCTACCAAACCGTCCGCATCACGTCTTCAAACGTCGTCCCTCCGCTTCCGCTTCCCACAAAATACCACCGAAACCCGGGAAGATAATGCTCGGTTCACCCCTCGGAGCTCTCCGCGGATAAATATTTAACCCTGATGAGAAATAGAGACTTATTTCGTTGCTCGTCCAGGGAAACCCAGGAGACTGTTTTTATACGAGGAGCCATCTTGCATTTATTCCTTCCTCCATGCCAGGAGGAAGCTGATTGGCTACAGGCCTCCGGGAGAGCCAATCAAAACGCGCGTTAAGAGGACAAGACAAATCCAACCAGGTTTTTTTTTTCCTCCTACGATCCACTGCTTCATGAAGCTGTCGTTCCAACTGCTTCGAAAATAGTTTCGTTTTTTTTTTATTTCTTCTATTTACTTTTTTATGCTTTTTTATATGATTGTCTACTGTTGTCTGTAGCTCATCTGCGTTCTTTGTCAGGTCTCTCTTGTAAAGAGTCCTAGTGGCTCAATAAGACAAGTAAAGGTTGAATGAATGAAATTATCGATGCTTCACGAAATGAAAGCACCTAAATTTTATTTTCTGTTGTTTATTTGTGTACATTTTGATGTTTGGTTAATGATTTAAAGAAAAGTATTAATAAAAAACCCCCACTTCTTTCGGATTTTCCCTCTTCAGGGGTCAGCGAGTCATCCTCTTCTGTCTCACTGTCCTCTGTCCAACTACCATGTCTTCTCCTTATTGTCTTTTTCCTGGCAGCTCGATTTCTAACATCCTTATACCAACATACCCACTGTCCCTCCTCTGGAAATGTCCAAACCACTGTCCCTCCTCTGGACATGTCCAAACCACTGTCCCTCCTCTGGACATGTCCAAACCAC